TGGTCTTTAATAATGTTGTTGAAACTTTAGCACAAAAACTGGTAAATGTATAGCCTACAGCATTCATGGAATTTTTTTTTTCATCTCAGTTGGAAATTTGTCTAACAATTTCTGAATGGTACTACTTGTTTCAGAACGTTCATAGAACATTCACAAAAGTAGCATTTGCATAATGTTTTTAATATGATAAATTTGAATGTTTCCTTACCCTGATAGCACACAGTGACGTCTATTTGACGTCTGCATTTACTTGTGCAAGACCTATTTTTTAGAGTGTTTGCTCAATAGGCATCTTTAGGACGTTTCCTATCATATGTCAAATAGACGTTTAGAAAATGTCTTCAAGATGTTATTTAGAATGTATGACATTCTATAACTGACGTCTTAAAGACGTCTATCAGATGTTTGTACACAGCAGATGCTTTCCAGATGAAGTGATCTTCAACAGACACCTTGCAGACATGTGCTATATAAGGTTTGCAAAACCAAGAAAAAACATTTTTTTTTAGAACATTTAAAAATACTGCACATTTTGAATGTTTAGAGAACATTAAGAAATAACGTTTTCATAATGGAAATGTTAGCAAACATTTCTTAGAAGATATTTTTGTTAGCTGATGTTCCTGACCTACACTGTATAAATTGATCAGTTAGCCTACAGTTGAGTAATTCCAGTGGATCGGAACAGTGTGGAATGATCTTGCTTTTAATGTTGGAGTATCAAATCCTCCAAAAGCTCCACACCCTGTCATTAGTGTCTTTAAACAGATAAGACCCAGATGCTGCACATTCCGGGAATTATAAAAGATAGTCACAGACTATAATACAAATGGCATACACAGTAATACTGAAATGCTCTTCTTCTTCCATGTCAGGTATGTAGACTGTCATTACCTTTTATAAATGTTTTTGGAACATAATGCAGTGGAGCAAAATGCAGCGTAGCTACACCTTGTTACACAGGAATGAAACACTGAGAAACAGAGAGATTTTATTGTAAACAGTCAGCCAGCTGTGTTCTCGATAGTTTTGTATCAAATCAACGGTTTTGGCTTTGAGTAACTTAAAACTAGGCTAATTCATAGTTCATACAACAACCTGAAACACATTACGGCCCTCTGCATAGGCCTAGGCTACTGCATAATATGCTAAGCAGTGCACTAGTATTTCCTTTTAGACTCTCTTCTCTCTGTCCATAATGGACACACTTTTGCTCATCACCTTTAACGTATCACATCTGCTCACAAGGGTGCTCACTAACACGCTTGTGAATGAACCTATAACGTAAGTGAATAGCTCCCTCTGCTGGTTCTACATAGGTGTGACATTTTTCCCCCCCAAATGAAAATCCGCCTATTTGATTGATTATCTGTTGGAATAAGGATATCACGACGAATATTATTGTTTTTAATACTTATTGATTTTTAACCCTTTATTAAGCCTCTTTAAATAACACACAGGTATTATCACCTACAATAAATCCAAACAGCATAAACTGAAAAAGAATATACATATACTATAAATAATTTAGACAGCATGCCACAAAACTTGGAACAACTTTAACAAATTTACATATGTGTAAATAAATCAAGCCCCCTATTATTATATTAATAATATAAGTGCGGTGCTTTTAAAAATATATTATTTTATCATGTCCCGAAGTAGCTTTTTACAAATACTGCGATACAAACCTCCAGTGTGTGACCCAAAACAACTTCCTACAGTTAATAATAACAATTCATAATTAAAACAGCATTTTAATGGTTGCACTGAATTTAAATATTTTAATTTTTCAATTTTCACAGTAATATTTTTAGTCAGGACAATTAGCGGCTACCTACGTCTCCATCGTCAGGACCCAAAATGGTGGCGGCGTGAGTATAAACCAAAACCTGAAGGTGAGTGAGTAATTCTAGAAATAGTTATAAGCATGTGCACATTTAACATTGTATCACCTAACAGATATTTCATTTGTCAACCCGCCTATTTGCTTCTAAACCTGTCAAAATGATAAACGACAGCGTTATACAATATTACTGCGTCTAAAATGAATGAGAGTATTAATTCACATGTAGAAGAGAGACCGGGGCAAGTTGGCACACTTTTTTAATCGCAGTGAATGTGATGTCAGCTGCCTACATCAATCTCTTCCCCTTGTTCCACTGGCCTGGCATTAGTTTATTCGTGTTTTTCATGTCTTTTAGTTTCTATAGACATGAGTAAGCTCCGGAGCTTTTGGCATAACTATAAAGTGCTGATTGTTATGGGCTCTGGCCTTGGGATGGTTCACTGGGGTTGGTACTCGATCAAATCCAATCCACTACTGAAGAAGAGCAGGGAGGAATATATTCCCGAACCGGGCATCGTGTCGTACGTCGCTCCGTCCCCACCGCCTCTGCCTCCTCTGCCCGAGAAGAGCAAGAAGAGAGCGACCAAAGACAAGGAGTAACTGCTGCTGCTCAACAAGGTGGGAAGAGCTCAAAGTCATCTGTTAAAGGGACAGTTCGTCCAAAAATGAAAACTCTGTCATCATTTACTCACCCTGAGGGACGTGGTCACTACAACCTTGAGCTCTGAGCTGTCATTGGGATGCTAGAAGATTCTTCATAGTGTTTGTTTTCCATGAGAATAAAGTCACACTGGTTTGGAATGAAATGAGTGAGTAAATTATGACAGAATTCATTTGAACTGCCACTTAGATAAGTGTGTGTGTGTGTGTGTGTGTGTGTGATCTGTCCTTGAGCTCTGTTATCAGTCACTCAGGTCACAATTTCTCATTGTTTACACAAGAATATGAATGAACACATGCTGTTCTTTCCTCTGTTGAAAGTGTGTGCATTTAATCTTATCTGTAAAGATTACAGGAACGTTTCTTGATAACGTCAGATTTGGTCAAAGTGTAGAGAGTGCGATTTTTATGATTTCTGTTCTCTATTTCGACAGGGGGAAATTGCCTTAATTTGAATTTGTTATTTTTTCATTTAAAGTTTTCACAATTTTGTTGTTTTTATTCATTTTTAAAATGCCTATGAAGTTTTTATTCATTTTTATTTCATTTTTAATTATTTTAGTACAAGAAAAAGAAAAAAATATTGCATTTGCAACTAGCCGATGTAAAATGTTATTTTTTTCATGTTTTATTTCAGTTGGCATTTATTTGATTTCAAATTACAAAAATGTAGTTTAACTACGATAACCCTGTATCCAAAGCACTTTAAATTCACTTCAGAACTGAACAGTGACAATTTCTATTTTATACATGGCTGCTAATGTTTTTACAGGTGTCACCACAAAAAAAAGGTTATTTATTATGTTTGATATATAAAACATAAATATGTATATATAATGATATATTCGAATATATTTTATATATGTAAATGTTCAATATAATTTTTTATAAATTATATGTTTAAATTTATTTATGCATTAAATGCATTTATTATGCAATATGCATTAAATATATACACTGAACAAAATTATAAACGCAACACTTTTGTTTTTGCCCCATTTTTCATGAGCTGAACTCAAAGATCTAAGACTATTTCTATGTACACAAAAGGCCTATTTCTCTCAAATATTGTTCACAAATCTGTCTAAATCTGTGTTAGTGAGCACTTCTCCTTTGCCGAGATAATCCATCCACCTCACAGGTGTGGCATATCAAGATGCTGATTAGACAGCATGATTATTGCAAAGGTGTGCCTTAGGCTGGCCACAATAAAAGGCCACTCGATTTGTGAACAATATTTGAGAGAAATAGGCCTTTTGTGTACATAGAAAAAGTCTTAGATCTTTGAGTTCAGCTCATGAAAAATGGGGGCAAAAACAAAAGTGTTGCGTTTATAATTTTGTTCAGTGTAAATAATATATTATATTTTTATATATATTTATTATTTATATAATTTAATTAATCTTCATTGTAATTGTAAATTATTTTAAGTTATAATTACAAAGAATATTGTGTCATATCTTTCGCTCAGCAAATAATTTAAAAATGGGTATCATTTAGGTAAAATGTTCTGTTACCTAAACGTTTGTTATAAAAAAACATTTGTTACCTTAATTTGCAAATATAGGGGGTTTTACTTTTATCAAGCTATAATAATAATAAAAATATTCTGACAAATCCTAGTTTGTTCAGTTGTTTAACTCCAGCCCTCTATAAGTGTCATTCAACAAAAAATGATTCCCAGAAAAGTTCCCAGAAGTCATTCATTTTCATTAAAACAACAGCAGCTGTTGGTGAAGTTGAGCTGAGTTCAACTTTATGCAAATAACTAAAGATCACAACACTTTGATCAGCTGCTTATGTGTCAGTTGATTAGCCCTTTCTTTCCTAACGTTCTCATTTGCATTTTGCAGGTCCTCCTCTTCTGAAGACGTTAGTGTACAGCGAGGACGGAGAAGATGAGGAACCAGAGCTGGCTGAGGAAGAACTGGTTTTGGGTTGCCGGTGGTGTATTTGCTGCTATTCATTTTGGCTCGTGGCTCCTGCAGAAAGCGATGAAGAGTTCGGTGCAGACTGAACGGCAGCTCAAACGCAGGGATGAGTAAAAGCAAATAATTTATGCATTTGAGGGATTATGGGGGTTGTGTGTGGTTTATTACAGTTAATCTAAGTGCTTTGTTGTCTGTCTAGTGACAAATTAAAAATACACACTTTGCTTCCGATGCACACATATGAGACAATGTCATCTATGGATATCATTTGAAAGTAATATTTTTTTTTTTAATTCTGAAAGTGGATGTGTTGCTAAGAAATTCTGAGTGGATGAAGCATTTAATGAGGCCAAAACATACAGAAACACTTGAGTTCGCTGGACTCAAGCAGCATTGCATGTTTTGTTTCATGTTTCTTAAGCACCTGTGACACTCGACCAGTTATGGTCCTTTGATGAAGTCTTTTATGTCAAGTCTGTGCAAATGGGAATATGTTTATAAATGACCATTCTCCACTATGCACAGATGTAAACAGGTTTTTAATGGTGTATTTAAAAAAATAAATACAATATTTCAGAAATGTTCCCTTTGGGTGCGAGTAGGACTTGCAGTAGCAACATCAGCACTTGCGGAATCTTAATTCGTGCTGTGTTTAAACTTGTTTTCGTGAGCTGGAAATAGTTTTTCTGCTTGTAAATTTCTGACTTTTTTATAGCAGGAAAGGGATCACAGCCTTTCTTGATGTAGGGTAATCTTTAAATTTCTCCAAGTAATACCTGTGAAGAAAACAAGGCATTTACTTCCAGGTTTGCATAAGGCTTTATAAAAACATAAACCCTTTATTATAATGCAGAACATAACTTTGTGTACCAGATGCTGGATTCCTTACTTGAAATAAAATAAAATAGCAAGCACCATTAAAAGCTAATGCTGGTGTGCCCTATTGAGCAAAAACATTTCAATTCAACTTTTTATCAGTATTTTTTGGTTTCAAATCAGTTATGTTTATATTTAAAAATACAGTAATCTAAAGCAGGTATCTTTAGAAGGCTGCATTTTGGAACAGCCTTCACATCTGAGTGTGAAAGTGTAGGGCCCTCACTAGATTTCGGAGCAAAGTTTGTGTCAGGACAGCACCTGTGATGGTGGTAGGCTCGAGGCCCAATGGAGCAGATAGTGAATAGAGCAAAGGAGAAAGCAGGAAAGGACCAGCAGGCCACAGCGTATCCACACCATTCAACGATCTCCCCAAAGAAGTTAGCACCAGAGACCAGCTCAAACATTCCTCCTGAAGAGAACACAATGTGAATATTTAGTGCAGAACTGAATTCAGGAATAAGGAGGTTCAGTCTCACTCAGATCAATCTTTTTAAGAATATGCCTGGGTCTTATTACAATGCCAAAATCAAAATCATATTTTGAGACCCATGAAGAAAAACATGTTTTATTAATTTTATTTTATTTAAATATGGTTAATGTTTATATTAATTTCATATAATTATTAAAATTATATATTTATATTGGTATGTAGATCTAATAATTGATGTTTTTATTAATTTAATATATATATATATGTATATATACACACACACACACAGTATAGTAAATATATACATTTCAAATTTATTTAAATGTATTATAAATGTATCATATATTTATTACATAAATATTATTAAATTATAAAATGTTATTATTAATTTTTCTTACTTTTCCCCATATGATTATTTGACCGAATATATATACAGTGGGTACGGAAAGTATTCAGACCCCCTTAAATTTTTCACTCTTTGTTATATTGCAGCCATTTGCTAAAATCATTTAAGTTAATTTTTTTTCCTCATTAATGTACACACAGCACCCCAAAAGAGTGAAAAATTTAAGGGGGTCTGAATACTTTCCGTACCCACTGTATATATATATGAGACCATAAAGAAAAACAACTTTTATTAAAGTTGTAAATAATTCATATTTATATTAATTTATTTTAATAATTATTCAAATTATATAGTTATATTAGTAAAATGACAATTTATTATATATCAAATATGTGGTCATATATATATATATAGAGAGAGAGAGAGAGAGAGAGACCATAAAGAAAAACTACTTTTATTAAAGTTTTAATAATTTTAAAAATTATTAAAGTAAAAATTATTAGTATTTATATTAATTTATTATAATAATT